AGTAGGACTGCAAAGGTTGGCCCAGCTCGGATATACAAATGTACACCAGAGCCCGAAATTTAAAAGAGTATCGTTAAACAAAACTCGGGAGTTTCCTTTTTGGGGTCTTAACATTCATGTAGATTTTGATTTAAGAAATTCGAAAAAAATGGAAAATATAATCAAACTGAAAAAAATTATATTTCATAACAAAAATATTGATATTCACAAAACTGTGTATCCCCATTCGTGAAACCCGGGTTTTAAAACTGGTTTTCTTAACGATACCCTGTCTTAAGTTTTGGGCTCAGTGGGACATGAGTGCACTAGATTCTTCACAGACAAACTAACATTTATCTTTGCTCAAGCTGACAAAATGGAATTGTATCTTTGACACCGATTCAAATTTCATATTCCCTATATCTTTGCAACCTTAAGATCTTTGATATTTAAACTTAAACTACTTAACTTAGTTTAAAATATTCAAAGGTGTCGACGACATTAAGTTACGAAGATATAGGGAGTGTAAAATCAGAGTTTGTGGCAAAACTCCATTTCTTTAAAAAAAATGTTGAGAATTATTTTATTTAAAATCTGAATTCTGTAACTTTAAGGGAAATTTTTAAACATCTCTTATCTTAACAATTCTCTTACAAAGTGCTTAATCCAACTAAAGGGTATTTCCTAGAGACCCTCCATGCAAAAATTGCAATACGCGATTCATTTACATTTGTGGTTTCTCTGCAAAAGGGACTTGTGCATTTCTTGTTCAAAAGAACCAATGGAGAAATTCACAGAAATAAACACTTTTCGAGTCAGTAAACCGACGTTATCTTTCACAAGTTTGATCAGATTAAGGGTTCAATAGTAACATTATGAATCGGAAATTTAAAAAAAAATCTCTCTTTTCAACTTTTGCTAAAACATTGACTTCAAAACTACTAATTACTTTTTCAAAGGAAGCATTTAATTCGACTGAATCAGAACCAACTCTCAGAGCTTAATTTAAAATTTGAAATGGTTTTAATTTGAAAATATTCTGTGAATGTTGAATTTTATTTTGGAATTTTCTCTCTTTCATCCTTAATATATAAAGTATCTCTCTCAAACTATTAAAGCTGAAGGTTTAGGGATGTGCATGTTTCAGAAACAAAATTTGTCGCCAAATTGAAAATATAGAAATTTAGAATTAAAAATTAATATTGCTTAGTTGCTGTTATAGTATCATTGTTGAAACATTTTCATTAAAATGATAAATATTTGTTCTGCGTATCGTTGTATCGTTGTTAAATTAAAAAATGAAAATACTCTTGTAAGCTTCAACCTATCTCTAATTTTTAATAAAGCTAATATCTTGAAAATATTTAATGAAAATTTTCCTAATATTAGAAACATAATTTTCATCAAATATCTAAGTACTCTTTTGAACATTTAAAAGTAAACTATAAAAAATTCATCGAAAATCAAAAGTTTGCAAACTTTTCAATTTTCTCTATTAAACAACATGATGCAGGAAGGATGGAAGAGAGGGGGGTGGAAGGATGGTAGAGAGGGGGGTTGAAGGATGGTAGAGAGGGGAGTGGAAGGATGGTAGAGAGGGGGTGGAAGAGAGGGGTGGAAGGATGGAAAATAGGGGTTGGTGGAAGGATGGAACGGTAAGGAATGAAAGGAAAGGGTTGCAAGGATGGAATGAAAGAATATAAGAATAGAAAAGGAAGGAGTGAAAGATAGAAAGGGGCAAAGGTATGGAAGGCATAAAAGAATGGAAAGGAAAGGGATGAAAGGATTGACTGGGAAAGAATGAATGAGTGGAATGGGAAGGAATAAAAAAATTGAAAGGGGAAAATTGAAAGGATGAAAAGGGAAGGAAGGAAATATGGAAAGGGAAGGATTAAAAGGATACAACGGGAAAAAATAAAATGATGTAAATGGAAGGATTAAAATTATACAAAGAAAAGAAATGAAAGGATGGAAAGGGAAGAGTTGAAAGGATAGAAAGGGAAAGATTGAAAGAGTGGAATGGAAAGGGTGAAAGAATGAATGTAATAAATATTGTGTAACACTAGATCTGTAAACGTGAATTACGCTGTACATTATTAATTTTCTACGTTTAAATAGCTATGTAAAACTCATATTGTGATTTACCTTAACTGCACTGTAAATAACTACGTAACATGATTAGCCTAATTACGTTGTATATGTATCGGCATAAAACTTGTAGTTACGTCAAGTAATGTTCACTTGTAACATAAAAACCCCCAAATATATTCAGTTAGATTACAGTGAGAGAAGTAATCATTCCTCATTTATCAAACAAGTTGATAGTCTATGAGATTGTGTCCAGTATGACATTGATAGCTCAAGATCGTGTCCAGTGGTTTGGCATTGATAGTTTAGATCATGTCCAGTTTGACATTGATAGCTCAAGACCGTGCCAAGTGGTTTGGCGTTGATAGTTTATGAGATCATGTCTGGTTTGACATTGATAGCTCAAGATCGTGCCCAGTGGTTTAGCATTGATAGTTTAGATCATGTCTGGTTTTAGATTGATAGCTCAAGATCGTGCCCAGTGGTTTGGCGTTGATAGTTTACGAGATTGTGTCCGGTTTGACAATAATAGTAAAGTGAGATTGAGTTTTACCTGGAAAGATACAGGTTTGAGAAACCCTGATGGAGTAGGCCATTTACTACATGAAAAGGGAAAGAATGGAAAAGATGAAAGGTTGGAAAGGGAATGCATGAAAGGAGGTAAGGAGAAAGGATGAAAGGTTTAGAAGGGAAAGCATGAATGGAGGTAAGGTAAGGTAAGGTAAGGATGAAAGAAATGAGAGAATGGAAAAAGTGAAAGGATGGAAAGTGAAAGGATGAAAGGTAAGAAAGGCAGGAGATGAAAGGTTGAAAAGAGAGAGAATAAAAAGATGAAAGGGACTTTAATGAAAGGATAGAAATAATAAAAGAATTGGATAGTTATGGATCCAGTATTTAGCCTAGGATTGTAATTAGTTCTAAATGGGAATTTAACTTGGTCAAAAGAAGAGATTAGTACTACTACCAGAGGGGGGGGGGGGAGATATTTGGCAAAGTAATAAATGTGCTGAGAACCAAGTCCATCAATCTCACAATAAATACTATATTTGCCAAACTAATCTATACTCAGCAGGCTGGCAACCTAAACAAATTGATAGTATTCCCCCCCCCCCCCTCGTATTTACATAAATACTAGTATGTTCACCCAGTAGGATTTATTAATCAAGGATAAAGATCTGGAGTAAAAACAGTCAAATATATATTTATTAGCAAACAATTTGGATCAGGTCTTTCCGTAATATTAAGTGGTTTTGATGGAGTAGGAACCTGTATGAAAGTATTAAATCACTCTCCACTAAACGCTACTTTATCCTCGGCCAGGACACTAAAAATTACTGCAGAACGCACCCAAAACTTAGAGGGAAATGGAGTACAACATGAACTTTTTTATTTAGAGGGTAGATGCCAATAAAGTATGAGACCCAACTGTCGTATTGAAACACTTTAACTTTAACTATCAGGATGTGAGTTTGTGATTCGAACTGTTGAATTTTTGTTGTCCTATAGCATAGATATCTATGTCCTATAGCCTTTAAATAATATTTAAGATGACTTTGCAAAGAAAAGAACAAATTTACAGAAATAGGAGGAAGAGAATGAAAATGGAGGAGGAAGAGAATGAAAATGGAGGAGGAAGAGAAGGGTGAAGAGAAGGATGGAGAGAAGGGTTGAGAGAAGAATGGAGAGAGGATGGAGAGAAGGATGAAGAGAAGGATGGAGAGAAGGATTGAGAGAAGGATAGAGAGAGGATGGAGAGAACATAGAGAGACTAGATCCTTAATCTTCAAGGTTATGTTGACTCAGCATCCTTTCATCCTCTAACACTAATTATTTCCTTTTTCCCTCGGCCCCGGGTCTTCATCATAACATCATACAATTTGTATGCATATAGTGTCCTCCTGGATGATATGTATTATTAAGGATTTATTTTATGTGAAACTAAAGGATGGAGAGTCTATCTTTACTCCAGACTATACAGCTCATCTAAATATTATTAAATGTATTTATACTACAGGGTGTCCCACGAAACATGACAGTTGGTGAACAGTTTAAAATGTCTTCTTCCATGATTTGTTACGTTTTTTGATACCAAAGATGATGATAAGAAATACTAAATGGCAGTGATAGTAAAATTGATTTTAAACAAAAATATATTTGAGTAAAAGATTTGTTTAACGAAATAAATTGCAAAAAGTCTTAAATAACTAATACAGTATCATGGGAGAAGACATTGAAAACTATTCATCAACTGTCATGTTTCGTGGGACACCCTGTAGCTGCAGAGAAAAAGCAATTATAATAAATGTTCTTCCTAGTATTTTCTTTTACCCTTTCTTCTCTTCTCTTCATACATTGTTAAATAATAAAAATTTAAGATTTAGTAGAGATCACTTTTATTTGTGGATTTACAAACAAAATTTTCATAAGGACCATAATCCTCCCCAGGAGGATTACGAAAAAAAAACATGAAGTAACAAGGAAACTATAGCAAACATTTACCTGCAATTTATGATTTATGGAAGCAAATCAGTGTACAGCATTAATTTCAATTTTTTTTTTGGGGGGGGGATAAGATTTTAATCATATTCACAGAAGTACGGGATATTAAGTACACAGTGCTTCAGATGTGACATAGAGTAAAAAATAAGGAAATTTAAGACCATGCGCGGATAAACGGTAAGATTAACTATGAGTATCCTGGGCAACGCCGGGCAATTCAGCTAGTATGTAAATAAAAATAAAAGTCACAATCATCCAATTAACCTTTATGCAAAATTTCATTTTTGAATTCAGAGTTGGAATTTTCTAGATTAGCTTTGATTTAGGTTATAGCTTAGTCCCAGTATTTGATTTAGGTTATAGCTTAGTCCCAGTATTTGATTTAGGTTATAGCTTAGTCCCAGTATTTGATTTAGGTTATAGCTTAGTCCCAGTATTTGTTCGGATAAAATTTATTATTATAAATAAAATTACACAATAAACTAAAAAAAGGCTTCAATTGGTAATTTTGACAGTGTTCTAATTTTTGTAAAACAGGTTTAGAGGGGTGTAGTCTTCAAGATGTCTTTGGTAAACCTCAGGGCGTTGTTAGTAAACCTCGGGATGTTGCTGATAAACCTCAGGAAATTGTTTATAAACCTCCGGTTGTTGTTCATAAACCTTTAGTTGTTTATAAACCTTTCGTTGTTGTTCATAAACCTATGGATGCTGATCATAAAACCTCTGGATGCTGATCATAAACATCTGGAAGCTGTTTATACACCTCTGGATGGTGTTTATAAACCTCTGGATGCTGTTTATAAACTTGAGGCCGCTGTTTATAAACCAATGGACGTTGTTGATAAACCTCTGGATATTAATAATCATTGGGATGCTGATAATCAAAAGTATAATTTGTGGATTTATTATGGTGTGGCTGAGAGTAATCCACTGGAATTTTGTAGTCTACTGGATAGTTCATTGGAGGCTTGTAGTCCACTGTATAGTCCACTGGAGGTTTGTAGTCTACCGAATAGTCCATTAAAGCCTTGTAGACCACTGGATAATCCTCAAAGTTTTGTAGTCTATACTGGATAGTCCGTTTGAGACTTGTTGTCAACTGGATAGTCCGTTTGAGACTTGTAGTCAACTGGATAATCCAGTGAAGGCTTGTAGGCCAATGGATAATCCATGGGAGTTTTGTAGTCTACTGGATAATTTTTTTGGAGGATTGTAGTTTACTGGATAGTCCTTTGAGGCGTGTAGTCAACTGGATAGTTCATTTGAGGCTTGTAGTCTACTGAATAGTCCATTGGAGTCTTGTAGTCTACTGGATAGTCCATTGAAGGCTTGTATTCCACTGGATAGGCCATGGGAGTTTTGTAGTCTACTCGATAGTCAATAGGAGTCTTGTAGTCCACTCTCTGTGAAGCATAGGGAGCAGGAGTAGAAGTGTGACCAGGATTATATGATTGGAGTATATGATGGTACCCAGACTCTCTCTTGGCTCCATGAACAGGTCCATAAGGTAGAGAATCTTTAAGAATATAGTACTTTTTATAAACTTGTTCATACAGACTGGTCGATACAGAAGGTGCATATCTGCCTAAATATCTACCTAAATATTTGCCTAAATATCCGCCTCCATACTTGCCTTGAGATCCACCTTTATAGCCGACCTTATATCCATAGGTTGGATATATGTCTACACATTAATTTCATTACTGATCAAATCGAATAATCTTTTGTTTAAACGTCTACCAAAACGTTGAAAAAATAGCTAAATATTTTTAATTTTAATGAATTGGAATTCAGAACTTCAATGAAAAATGCAAGAAAATTAATTCTTCACCTGAACCCCCACGAGCAGGAGACAAAAGTGAAGCTTTAAACGCTTTGTGTTTATGAATGCTTACATCAATGTCAGATATTAAAAATGTAAACATTGAATTGATAGTAAACAATAAAAAACGTATTGCAAACTATGTGTACTGCATAGATTAGAGAAATCTGGAAGTATGATTTATTTATTTTGTATACTTTGAAGAGAGTTATGTTCCAAAACTTAACTTTTAATCGTGAATTTTCCAGATTTAACAGCAACCAGTCTTCAACCTACTTTAAACCCTTCAATTGTATTGAATAAACGTGTATTTTGATGTCATTATGATTTAAATGATTCAGCTATAAATACAGCAAAGATGCTTAGATAACCTAGACGGGACGAATGAAAATAAAATAATATTGTCCCATCTAGTGTTTTTTTATCTTTGCAAATCAGATATCAGGGATCTATAGGTTGTTAAAAACAATATAAAAAACTTTAGTTAATGCATTCTAATGATAATCTAGTCTGTTTCTCTGTTTACTTCCAAATAAATCATTTATTCTCTCCCTTCCTTTCCTCTAAATTCTATTAAATGTCCCCCCCCCCCCCGTCCTTACCAACTTTAGGGGACCCCCCCCCCCTCTTACTACACAAGTTAGAATAAACTATTGAAAATTCTCTTTCATGAAACTACTACTTTGATTCCATCTCCGTGAAATGTGGATATTAATATATAAGTAGAGTGTGCTTAATTTCATATATATATCTACAGAATACAGAATACAGAATACTGAATACAGAATACAGAATACAGAATATAGAATACAGAATACAGAATATAGAATACAGAATACAGAATACAGAATACAGAATACAGAATACAGAATACAGAATACAGAATACAGAATACAGAATATAGAATATAGAATACAGAATTCAGAATTTGAATATATATAAAGTAGTAATCTCTGTTTGTCTCTCCGATCAAAACTCAGGAATCCCATGACCGTTTGTCTCAAATTTTGATTGGGGATCTTTAAAGGGACCGTTCACTTATTTGGGTAATTAGGGTAAACTAAACAGCCTATTCGCTGTTGATTGGCATTAGTCTTACTTTTCAAAGACAACTGTGTCCGGAGAAAAAGCCGATTTTCGTTCAGAATTCGAAATTACCCAAATAAGTGAAGGTCCCTTTAAGGAACCACGGAAATATTCTTGCAAGATTTGAAAATTCTAAATGAAGTTGGTTGAGACACTTTGCAAAGTCGACCCATTTTTGAAAATTATTGCATTTTTTAAAATCAGTCCGGATCTATGTAGACACTTTTATCAGTTTACTGTTTGTCATTTTGTTTGTCTTTTTTTAAAACTTTTGTTTCCATTAATATTAAAACTTTATTAAATTCTTGTTTATTTAAACTAATATACACTAATATATACTATTCAGGTTATAAAGAAAAGTATAAAGAGAATGAATTAAAAAGTTTGTCAAATTTTGCAACTTGCATTCAAAAGATAAAGTTGAGCTCTTGAGAATTAAAGCCTATTCTGAGAATTAACTACTAAAACTTTTTTTCTCAAAAATTTAGAAATAAGGTTTGCTTCAAAAGATTATTTAATCTGTATACATATACAGGGTTAACCAACGTGAACTAGACTTCAGGGACGACTGTATAGAATCTAAATTGAGTCTTTATTCTGAGAGCTATGGTTCCGTACATACAACTTTCCATTTATTAATTTCTTTTCCAAATCATTAGATTAATAATCCTTATAATGTGTTCATATAATTAAATTAAAGAATTAAGTTATTAAAGTTTCATCACAACCACTTTCAACACATTAAGCAAAATCTATACTCGGTAAAAAATCAGTTTATATAAAATTACATTCAAAAAATCTTAAATCAGAGATTCAGGGCGCTTCTTGCTCCTCCTTCTTGAAGGGACCGTAAACGTAATTTTAAGTGAGTCTCTATTTATAGATCTGTGGTATGTCCGATTCACAACATCTCTTGGTCACGTGACCAAGAGATGTTAATATACAGAGTTACCCACAGAGGATGAGACTTCAGAGACGATTGCACGAATGCAGAAACCAAAACTTAAGCTTCAGTTCGTCTGCATATTGTTAGAGTTTTTGGTCGTCTTTACAGTCTCATCCTTTGTGGGTAACCCTGGATATTCTCACCTCTTTACCCCTCACGGCATTGAACCAAAACATTTTGCTCCAAGAAAACATTCTTCTGGTGAAACATAAAGTTCTCTGACACTTCCTTTCAATAAAATTTCACAGAGTGAAAAAAACTTGGTCTGATTGGAGAAGTTTCCGGAATTCTCCAAATAATTAGACAAGTTTGGAACTGAAAGCTGGGATTGCGGATTTAGGAAAACAAATCTAAAATGAAGCTGCTGCTGGGACAACCAGAAGAATAAAGAGAACCAGGAGAACCAAGAGAACCAGGAGAACCAGAAGAACCAGGAGAACCAGGAGAACCGAGAGAACCGAGGGAATCAGGAGAGCCAGGGAACCAAGAAAACAAGGAGAACCGAGGGAACCAGGAGAACTGTAAGAACCAGAAGAATCGAGAGAACCAGAGGAACCAGGAGAACCAGAAGAACCAGGGAACCAGGAGAACCGAGGGAATCAGGAGAACCGAGGGAATCAGGAGAACCGAGGGAACCATGGAGAACTGAGAGAACCAGAGGAACCAGGAGAACCAGGAGAACCCTAAGAACCAGAAGAACCGAGAGAACCAGAGGATCCAGGAAAACCAAGAAACCCTAAATAACTAGAAGAACCAAGAAAACCAACAGAAGCAGCAGAACCATTAGAACCAGGAAAAAAGGAGAACTAGGAGAAAAAGAAAAACTAGGATAACCAGGAAAACCTAAATAACTAAGAGAACCAAGAGAACCAAGAAAACTAAGAGAACCAAGAGAACCAAGAGAACCAAGAAACCCATGAGAAAAAGGAGAACAAGGAAAATCTGGAGAACTAAGAGAACCAAGAGAACCATGAGAGAACCATGAGAAAAAGGAGAACAAGGAAAATCTGGAGAACCAGGAGACCTGGATAACCAAGAGAACCAAGAGAAAAACGAAAACAAGAAACCTGGAAAATCAGGAGACCTGGATAACCAACAGATCCAGGGAAATCAGGAGAATCAAGAGAACCAGGTAAACCATTAAAAAAAAGAGAACTATAAGGAACGAGAGAGCCAGCAGAATTAGGAGAACCTAGAAAACTAAGAAACAGCTGGTTCAAATTGGCGACATTTCATTAGGGAACCCATGGGTGTGACACAAGCTAAAAAGGCATGTACAACCTTTTTTAATTTCACGGGCAACGTCGGACACTTCAGCTTAAATCATGATTTAATACCAAGCGCGGGTAAACGGCGGAAGTAATAATGCATAATAATATAAACCAGGGCAACGCTGGGCACTCCAGCAAATATTAAATATATATTTAATATATAGCGTGTATCTAGAAGAAATCCACCCTCTATACTTGACAAAAACTAAATTCGGAACAATTCATCCAATTCTTGGTAAACATTTAATAAATTTTATATTGAAATTTTGATATATTGACAGAATGCAGCAGCTGGAAATTATGGAATTTCTCTCTAAAAAGCAAGAATCTAGAGAGAGAAGTTTATACAAGAACTCTTTTCAATTAAAAGTTTTGGTATTGGAGACGCTCAAAGAGCGATGAAACTAAAACATTCTTTAAAAAAAATATTTTTTCCCGGATTAAAGTTTTTAAAACCTTAAATGCATGTGGGGAAAAAATTAAGTTTTTAAAAATAAATCAAATTTACTTTTTTTATACTGTGATAAAAAATGAAGCGCAATGTAAAATGGGATCGAATCTTGAATTTTTTTATGAAATATAGAACAAATCAATACAATTTTACTTATTACTTATTATGTATTCTACATCAGTGCATGCCACTTTAATAGGGTAACTTTACATGTTCGAAATAAAAATGACTACGGATTTTAAGAATAAAAATAAAATAAAAAGATAGACAGATGCGAAGCGACCCAGATTTTGAAAGAAATAAGTTTGTTGAACTAAAATGAATTCCGTTATTTACCCATGGAAGAGGAAAGTTGTTGGATTACATGAGCTTTAGATGTACTCACAATATTCCCAGTTAACAAACAAAAAGTATTAAGCTCAATCATTTGTTTACTTTGTGTTTACTTTAAACCAGCAGAACTGTTCAGAAAAATAGGACTCTTCTTTCAGACTCGATGTAATTCATGAAGAAGACATTCGATTCACATCGATACTTTTTATTTTTAATCATTTATCTGAGTTTAAGTAAGAAAAATATAAATATCCCAGTCTTTTTCCTAACCAAGGTTTCAAGACTATTGAAGCAATTACTTATGTTTTAAAGGTCATAAAGAAATAGTTCCTCTAGTGTGTTAACATAGGCCTCAGGATTATATGCTTTAAAAACATAGGCCTCAGGATTATATGCTTTAAAAACATAGGCCTCAGGATTATATGCTTTAAAAACATAGGCCTCAGGATTATATGCTTTAAAAACATAGGCCTCAGGATTATATGCTGTAAAAACATAGGCCTCAGGATTATATGCTGTAAAAACATAGGCCTCAGGATTATATGCTTTAAAAACATAGGCCTCAGGATTATATGCTTTAAAAACATAGGCCTCAGGATTATATGCTGTAAAAACATAGGCCTCAGGATTATATGCTTTAAAAACATAGGCCTCAGGATTATATGCTTTAAAAACATAGGCCTCAGGATTATATGCTTTAAAAACATAGGATGCTTTAAAAACATAGGCCTCAGGATTATATGCTTTAAAAACATAGGCCTCAGGATTATATGCTTTAAAAACATAGGCCTCAGGATTATATGCTTTAAAAACATAGGCCTCAGGATTATATGCTTTAAAAACATAGGCCTCAGGATTATATGCTGTAAAAAGTCCGAATTTCTGTTGTTAAACTTGTAAAGTTTCAATAAGTTGTTAGAATCTATTTAATTTTTCTGCGGATCCGGATCCCGGATCCGCACCATGGAAAAAATGAACCCGGATCCAGGTCATAAAAATTTCTTTAAGCTTTACTGATTTATGTTATTTTTAAGCCAAAACTTGATGAACCATTCAGAGATAAGAAATTTTGTAATAATCTTTTTTCTTCAAAGTTTGAGACAGGCCTTTAAAGTATCCTTTGTCATTGACTATTTTTCTTACCATTATTAATCCTTCACAGTGACATCAAGATTTATATGTGGCAAAATGAGCAAAATCCTGATGAGATGAATGAGTTCGATTTGCAGTTGGATCAATTAAGCTTACTCCTCTTCGTTGTGCAGTTCCATTTGCCTTTATATTGAAATTCTTGAAAATAAATCTTGTCGATATCTAAAACCTTGTGTTAAGAACTGTAACAATGTGTTTCCCTATCTATTTAAACTTTAATTCAAGTTTGTTTGTTTGTGGTTTAATGTCTCAGAACGTAATCAGTGTAGGGCAGTTATATTCTCTGAACCGAGGGAGGGAAGGTTATCTTGTTCCAACAGAGGGGAGAAAACCAATCCCTTCCAGCTGCAAGTTATTACGCGGAGTTCCTCTTGTTGCAGATTTAAATGTACCCTCATGGAATGTTCTTAAAAAAATATTTTTTGCTTAGATTGTAATAATTGTAATTTTGATTAAAAGGCAGTAAAAGTTTTCAGGTTGTTATTTTACGTATTTTTACGTACTTTTCGGTTTTTTCTTTACCTAAAGTTTTTTTTTCTTAGAATTTAAAAGTTTGATGCAAACCTATAAGTACGTATTTTTTTGTAAATTTCATACCAAAAAATTTTTGTAACGCTTTTTAGTTCATGCGTTTTACGTATTTTTCGTTTTTTTCTTTGCTTAAAAATTTGTATTTTTTATAGTTTTCAGTTTGATGCACACCTAAAATTAATTAAATTTTCGTTAATTTTATTCCAAGCAATTCTTTTAGTTTTTAGGTTTTTATTTACATATTTTTTTCTTTCCTTAAAATTCTATATTTTTTTAAGAGTTTAAAAATTTGAGGCAAACCTAAAAATACGTATATTTTCGCAAATTTCTTACCACGTAATTTTTCTAAGTTTTAAGGTTTTTTACGTATTTTTCAGTTTTTTCTTTAATTAAAAAATGTTTTTTTAGACGTTATAAGTTTGTTAAACCTAAAAATACGTATATTTTCATAAATTCCTGCCAACTAATTTTTACACAAGTTTTTAGGTTTTTATTTTACAAATTTTTACATATTATGTCATAATTTTAGTTTTTTTAAGTTTATCCTATATGTAGATTTAGGTTTGAAAAATTCCTAACATTTCTTAATTTTTGGAGTTTATTGGTTTTGGTTACGAAAATACCTGTCATACGTATGTAAAATACGTATTTTTATGTATTCCAAGCCTAAAAATACGTATATATATATACGAATGTCATACGTATTTAATGGTTTTCCGGTTAGTAGGGAAAATAAAACTTAAGTATTTAGGTTTTTTTTTAAACTTGAGGTTTGAGAATCTAACCCGTTCCTCCCTCGAAGTAAAGGGATGACCATGATGTAACAAAAAAAAATTCCATTTTTTATGAGCAATGAATAGAATTTTTTAGTTTTATTTTACTTTACTGAAAACAGGTTTTGACTTTGCAAAGTTATTACCCCTGCTTATTTTTGTAATAATGCGAGGAGTCTCCCAGCGGAGATATTTCTCCGTTATACATCCGTCCGGAGAAACCAATTTAAACCTTACGTGTTGAGATTATATAGAGAAAATACAGGATCTAGAGCAGATCAATGTAAAACCTAGCTGTCTAGACTTATACCTGGAGTAGATTAAACCTAGCTGTCTAGACTTATACCTGGAGTAGATTAAACCTAGCTGTCTAGACTTATACCTGGAGTAGATTAGACCTAGCTGTCTAGACTTATACCTGGAGTAGATTACACATAGCTGTCTAGACTTATACCTGGAGTAGATTAAACCTAGCTGTCTAGACTTACACCTGGAGTAGATTACACTTAGCTGTCTAGACTTATACCTGGAGTAGGTTAAACCTAGCTGTTTAGACTTTATACCTGGAGTATATTAAACCTAGCTGTCTAGATTTAACCCTGGAGTAGATTAAACATTAGATTTGTACCTGGAGAGGATTAACCCTAATTTGTATACAACAAGGTTATTTGAAACCTTCAAGAGATGTTTGTAGTGCCTTCTAAAAGTTCCAGAGCAAAAGTTATTGTCTCTCACTAACTGCAGTTTGGGGAAGGTACACAATGAAGACGTAAATCAAATAAAAATGAAATAATAAAAACTAGTTATATAAATATTGTTGAAAGTACAGTATATTTTCTAATAAACTAACAACTAGGTATAAATGAATACATATTGGACACAATGGTGAAATAACAGTAAGAGGCAAATCTGATTTGGTTTATTTACAGCTTCTATTAGAATTGCCCTTCTCTAATTATAAAAAAAAGTAGGATTAAAATCTGTAAAAAACTCCATATTAAAAAATACGGTATTTCCCCTTGAGAACTTAAAAAAATAGATTTTGGAAACCGTTTGAAGAATATTTCTTGGTTTTGTTTTGCATTTCGGACTTTTTGTACGTATTTTTATCAGATCCCCGCTTTGGTCGTTTTTCTTATTTACATTTTACAATTTAAATAGACTCCCCCTCCAACAGCAGTACACTTAAAAACTATGTACGGGAGAGAGAAACAATACACAAATAGGTTGAGTATGGTAAGTACCCATTTTAGTTAAGTGCATAATTGCCATGGATGTACACTGTACATAATTAAGAAATGTACAAGGATTGAATAGATCAGGGATTACATATTTCAGACATTGAGACAAAACAGAGTAAAATTTACATAAAGATGTGAAAACATTTGTGAAAATTTAAAAAATATGAAATTTTTTCAAAAATGTTTACATTTTTTTCAACTCATTGAGTTCACATCTGGGATTGTTCATGAAAAGGGTTGAACGGAATTATTTAAGATTGAAAAAAAAGAGCAAAATAATGGTCCCTTCTCATATATAATGTACAACTGGGATATTTTAAGTACTTGGTTGATTTGGTACACCTGTACAATGTACTGCAAAAACCTGTACAATGTTTTCTAACAACCTTTACATTAATACTGAAGAATTTAAGATTCAGATCGTGTAATAAAAATTAACTAATGTATGCCCAGAAATTCGGTGTACCCTGAGCCCAAAACGTAAGACAGGGTATCGTTATGAAAACTAGTTTTGAAACCCGGGTTTCAAGAATGGGGTTAGGCAGTTTTGTGGATATCAATATTTTTGTTGTGAAATATTATTTTATTAAGTTTCTTCATATTCTTCTTTTTTTAAAATTTCTTAAATCAAAATCTACACAATTGCCAAGACCCCAAAAAGGAAACTCGGGAGTTTCGTTCAACGATACTCTTTTAAATTTCGGGCTCTGCACTTTGAAATAGTAAAGAATGTACATGTGTATGTACAGAAGAAGCAGTGTACACAGATCCCAGCCTCTATGCAAGTCCAGCATCCTAAATTAAAATAAGAAATTGTAAAAAAGATCAGAACTAAACCAAAAATACACATCTTCTAGGTGAACCACGTGGACGTAGTTGAACCACTTTTCTTTTGCGCCAATTTATTTTGAGGAGAAGCAGTTTAACTTAGTCTTCGTGTAGTCAAATACGTCTCTAAATTCATTAAATCCAGTCCCGTGGTTACATGTATTTCTCCTAATCCACTACTTTCTTTTCTTCAAATTTTCCATGTTAACCTTAATCCTGTGTATACACAGTTAGCCCTTAAACAAAACCTAGAGAGGCTAAAACTTTTAATTGTGACAGACAGCGCTGAACTCATTTTCTTCGGCGCACAGCGTAGACTTATAAATTTAGGATCAATTCCAGGGATATACAGAAAATCTACCAAAAATAATAATAATCCTAAGAAAGGAATATCTTTATATAAAAAAGAATAAAAATAAATGATCCCTGATTCACTAGCTGGAGGGCGGGAAAGGGGTTCAAAACTTTTAAAACCTTCCACAACAGTTTGAATGGAATTCATAAGTTTCCAGCTTATTTCCCTTAAATTCATGTTTGCTGAAACCTTGTTAATCCTCCTGTCCTCGTAAATACTAATGAAAACAAGATTAAGAAAGTAAAACAACTTTTCAAATTTTAAAAATAAGACAGGGGAATATATATTAACAGATCAGATCAAGCTTTTAGGGTCGTCCTACTCTATACATCCCAGACTTACAGTGAACCAACCAAATCATGCTTTTAGGTCCGTCCTACTCTATACATCCCAGACTTGAAGTGAACCAACCAAATCAAGAATGAGGTGTGAACTTACAGCTTGCAATGATTAGTTTTTCATTTTTGGTACTTGATAAATTAATACTTTCTTTTACTCGATTATCTACGCTTTTGGATACTCTTCTAATTTTCCCCAAATAATGTCAGTTATTAAAAAAATTTGGCTAATATTACCCATAACAAACTTAACAACAGGGAGAGAAAAAATTGATTTTGCAACAGGACTGGGGGAGTATTTTCAAGAAATGATCTTAACAACGTATTTGATAAAAAAGCTCAAATTAATAAAATGAGTAATGATTATATAAAAAAGCTTAAAAGTTAATTTCAAAATGAATTTTCTAGAACTGAAATATTTTAAAATTTAAATATCTAATTCAATTTAAAGGTCGATTTTTGAACAATTTCAATATTTAGAAAATACCCGTGAATCGAACTTTTTAGGGGGGGGGGGGAGGTATATGAACATCCAATTGAAAAACCTAATTTTATAACATAAATATCTGTTGTACCTTACACATGTCCCGGAAAATTGATCCTTCTTTGTTCATCAGAGTTTTCGGAGAATCCAATTCAGCCACTGATCCCTCCGAGAGAACCAGGACACGGTCGTAATCCAGGATTGTGTTCAGACGATGAGCGATCGTGATGATTGTGCTAAATAGAACACTTTAAGATAATAAAATATGACAATCAAAACATCTAAACAATATTTTAAAATCATCGGGTGGAAAAAATACAATCTACAAAATTTTGAGGGTGCATGGAAACCGGAGGAGCATTTTAATTATTTATGAACTTACCATCCATCGAATTCTGTTCTTATTGTATTCTGGATAATATCATCAGTCTCCAGGTCAACTGCAGCAGTAGCTTCGTCCAGGACCAGAATCTTTGTCTTACGGAGAAGAGCTCTGGCTAGACAGATCAACTGTCTCTGACCAACGGAAAGATTCTCTCCACCCTCGTTGACCTCGTGGTCTAGCCCGGCCGCTAATCCTGTCACGAAGTCGAAGAGGTGGGAGTGCTTGAGAGCCTCCCATAGAGCGCTGTCATCGTACTGCTTGAAAGGATCCAGATTGTGTCTCAAGGTACCAGAGAATAGTACAGGATCCTGAGGGATGATGGTGATCCTAGATCTAAGGTTGTGCAGACCCAGTTTAGAGACATCAACTCCGTCAATCTTGATGGACCCGGAGCTGGGTTCAATGATACGGAATAAGGCCAAGGTCAAGGATGATTTTCCTGCTCCGGTACGCCCAACGATCCCAACCCTCTCTCCACCCTTGAAGTCTACAGAGATATCTTTGATAACAAGATCGAGTCCTTCTCTGTACCGAGTACTATACTTCTCCAGGGTTATCTGACCTTTCTCCGGCCAGTTCGCATTAGGAGCAGTCTCCTCCCTGTCCCAGTCGTCCTCTACGGCCAGCTGACTATACTCCTCCAGTCTCTCCACTGCAACAATATTCGTCTCAACGTCGCTCGCCATCCTGACCAACCAGTTCAGGGTCTGAGTCACCTGCAGGGCAAAACTGACAGACAGACCAACCAGACCTGCGGATAGGCTCTCACGAGCCAGCACTGCAAACAGGGCAGCAGCGAATATAATCGCGTTTCCAACAGTTTCAAGACGGATTGCTAACCAACGGTTACCGATTATACCCAGGAAGGATGCCTTGTGGTTCTGATCTACTCGGAGCTGGGACTCGGAAATGAAGAGATCCTGAAGTCCGTAGGCTCGGATAACGGTGGCTCCACTGATTGTTTCGCCAAAATGAGAATAGATTGGAGATTTAGAGACGGATTCAAGGCGTTTTAACTGACGAGAGGATGCAACGTAAACCCTCTGAACGAAGTAGTATCCTACCAGGACTATAGAGATAAAGAGTATAGCAGGAGGGGTTGTGTACATGATCACCAGGAAGGTTGCAACCACCTGGAGAAGGCAGGTAATCCATCCTCGGAGAATCATAGGCATCGTTGTATCCAGGACATCAACGTCCTTACTGAATCTGTTAATGATTCGACCTTGTGGAGTTGTATCAAAGAATGACATAGGAGAATGCATAATCCTTATCAACATTTTTTCATGGAGCGCTTTAGCTCCGTTTAAGGTTGACAGATAGAGCAGTAAGCTGGCGAAAATAGCTCCGAAGGCCTGAGAAAATCCAAGCCCTCCATAGACCCCCAGATAAATATCCACAAGAGTTCCATTCTTTGATCTAAGATCGTCCAAGGTTGAGTTTGATACGAACGGAAGGGTGCTGTCAGCCCAGTGTGAAAGCCAAATGGATCCACACGCCGTGAAGGTTTGGTAGAGAGCATAGAGCATGACACAGGCGGAGAAGAGTAGGTATCCCATGTTCTGGAAATATATCAGATAAATCCTCCAGGAAACTTGTCCGGTCTCAGCCTTTTCGTCTTTATACTGCTGATGTTTGGTCTTGTCCTCGGCAGGCTTCTCTGGACTCTTCACAGGACTCACGGATTTCTTAGGACTCAAAGAGTGCACGGAGGCAGTTCCTGCACTAGTAGTACTTTGGTCTGATCCACGTCTCTTGGAAAGATCTCTGTTCTCCGACTCCGTCCTTACCCTGGATAATTGTCGGACATACTCCTCGCGTCCAAGCTGCTGCTCTAGTTCCGTCTTGATCTTTTCCATCTCCGGGTCTTCCTCCTGGTCGGAGAGATACTGAACCAAGAACTCTGCAAAAGCTCCTTTCTGAGCCAGGAGTTCTCTATATGTTCCGCTCTCACTCACAGATCCGTTCTTGAACACGATGATCTGGTCAACCTGGGGCAGGAACGTGACTCCGTGTGTGACCAGGAGTCTTGTTTTACCGGCCAGAGATCCAGTGGGTCCAATCACATTGTCGAATATGTGCTTACCAACATGTGAGTCTACAGCAGAGAGAGGATCATCAAGAAGATAAAGATCTGCGTCGTAGTAAACAGCTCGAGCTATGGCAACACGTTGTTTCTGTCCTCCTGAAAGATTTATCCCCTTTTCTCCAATCTCTGTTGAATCTCCGCCGGGCAAAATTTCAAGATCCGATTTAAGTGCGCAGTCTGAGATAACCTTGTTATACAAATTTTCTTCCAACTTTTTCCCGAATGTGATATTTTTTCTCAGAGTTGCGTTCTGTATCCAGGCCTGCTGGGAGACATAAGCTATTTTACCCGCTAGCTCAACCTCTCCGTCAGTCTTATCCATCTCTCCTAGCAGAGCAGACAGAAAACTGGATTTCCCGCTTCCAACACTCCCGACAATAGCGCATAGACTTCCCGTTTTAATGCTGATATTAAGATTAGATAATTTGAAGACTTCTTTTTCCTTCTCCTTCTCCATATCTCCTGAACCATTCAACATCTTTGTACTTTCATCATCTTTACTTTTAGTTTCTCCGTTCACCTTGACCTCTCCGTTCTTTTTATCTGAACCATTCGCTTTGGTTTTATCGTCTTCCTTTACTGGACTCTCTTCCCAGTTAAATGATGCATTTGTAACTTTAACAGCGATTTCCTTATCCTTGCTTTCAACCTTCTTAATAGTTCCCGTATCTAACTCTGCACTCCTCATAAACTTGTTGATCCTCTTGATGCTGACGCTGGCCTGGACCGCGGAGGTGATCATGAAGGGGAGCATGGAGAGAGGGAAGCGAAGGATGTTGAACAAGGCAAGGGAGGTAAAAGCTTTCTGTGAGTCCAGAACATTATCCTCGGAGGAGAGAACGTAGGTGGCGAAGGTGACGAGGGAAACTACGAAAGGGGCGCAGGACCAGATGAAAGAAGTTCCAGAATTGAGATAAGCCATCTTCAACATGATTGACAGCTCCTTGTTCCTGATAATATCAACCTCGTTCACAAAGCTCTTCTCCCAAGCGTAGAGCTTGAGAATCTTCATCCCCTGGAGCAATTCATTCATCTTCTTCACCCTTACATCCTTCTGCTTCATCAACTTCAAGTGCAGCTTTCTAGTGACAGCGGCAATGACCCCGTTGACCGGAATAAGAACAATCATGACCGCAAGACCCGCGAAGACACTGGGTCCAAGAACCTGGTACAGCATGTACATGGATACTCCAATCTGAAGCGGGGCAGACCACAACATGTTCACATACGGGGTCATATCAGCGATACGCTGACAATCCACAGACATGAGGTTCACAATCTCTCCCGAGGTTGTGTCCTTCTTAGCCGAGGAGGACACACGGAGACTTTTCCTGAAACAAAATATCTAAGTCCTGTCAAATATTTATGTGCAATTCTTTAAGAACTCTGCAAGATTTTAGAAATACCTAACTGAAGCGCCGTGCGTGGAATAAAAGAAAAAGTATTTTTTACCCATCCTTTATTATATATCTCAATTTAAAGAAGCCAATGTAAAGATTGTTTACTAACAGCTAGCATATCACGAGAAAACGAGGAGTTTTCCTGAAACGAGTTTAAGCACTGCCAAATATTGATGTTTGATAAAAGTTGAGAAACACAAGTCAGCTTTTTTAGAAATGTTTAAACTACATTCTGCAGGATTCAACAGTCTAGAGAATTATCTGACTCCGCGGAGAAATGAAAGGATTTAACTTTTCTTTCCTCAATAGTTGTTGAGTTAGAATTGGAGGGGAAGTTTTAATAGTTTAATAGTGAAGGGACTAGTTGAACCTAACAAAATGGAAATTTTAATTAAATATAATTTCTTGCGAGTTCAACACATAAAACTGAGAAATTCAGGAAGCGTTTTTCTTGGAAAAAAATCTCTGCAATCCTTATAAAAAGTAAAAATATTAAGTTCGGGTTAAACTTACATAAAAAAAAACAAAAATAAAAATGGCAAATTCTAATAATAAAGATTTATAAAAAATAAAAATAAAAATGGCAAATTCTAATAATGAAGATTTATAAAAAAAAACTAAAACTGAACCTGTATATAGCAGATATAAGAGAAGATTTGGACCACATCCCGATAAGATACATCTGGTAGAAGTACTGAGAGAGCAGGATGGATTGAACCAGGGCGAACAGGAGAAGAGAAGTTGCATACACAACGCCTCTCCATGTTGGCTCATCCGTCTCACTGAAGATGATGATCCGTCGGAGTAGGATTGGGGACGCGAACACAAGAATATCATGGATCAGTTTTAGGAAGGATCCGGTGATAAACTTCAATCCAAAGCATTTTATAAGAGGGCCAAACACGGATAAAGAAGCTCGAGCTTTGTCTGTAGATCCAGGTTCAATCTTGACTGAATCTGCACCGGCTCCATAGGACGCTTCCGGTTTATCTCTTTTCTCCAACCTTGCCAACTTGAGTTTAGGTTCCCAGAAACTGTTGAACAACGGAGCTACTGTGTCGCTCCGATCCCTGGGGTGTAGATCTCCGAGATCATATTCCGTGATAGATCTCTTGTATCCGGTCCAGGCGAGGCTGTTGAACCAGTTAAAGAGAAGACGGGAGGGGAAGGTTGCTGTCAGCTCCGGACTAGGCCGATCTCCCACCTCAGCTTCATCTAAATACAATAATATTTATGGTCAGAGATGGAAATCCTCCGTTTGAAGTTTGAGTGAGAAATATTCCCCTCCTAAACCCTAGTTTAAACATTCCTTTAAACTTCTCAAATACAACCATTTTATTGCAAACAAAGATCAGGAGAACGAGAAAAACAAAAATATTTTCTGTGCAGCACGGACAACATATATTCCAGTTAGTAACCCCGTTTTCTAGTTCAAGCAGATCGATTAAATAGTCAAACTACTTGAGCAATCTGATTCCACTTTTATTCAAGTACTTTCTCTTTTCATCATCTTAATACTGAATAGTTCAGTAATCAGAGTTTTCTTTGGAGGAAGGGCTGGGGGGATTTTAAACTAGTGGATTTAAATCTATTTTTAATTGTTTATGTTTATGTTAGGATTATTTTCAGGACTCCTGGCGGAGTATATTAGAAAATTTCCGATTGTTGTCATGATATTCATATGGTTGCATATATCACATTAATGTGCAGAATATATTATATTCAATAATTACGAATATCCAGTGAATCAAGACCAAAAATAAGGGACATTTTTTTTTTTTTTTTGGTAGGGTTTTTATTTTTTCTCTTCCTTGACATTTTTACTTTTTTTTTTATTTTTCGACATGCTTTTTAAAAATTTTATCTTAGCTTATTTTTTTCCTTATTTGGCCTTTCTGTTTTCTTTTAAAATAATCTTTTTTTGGGTCTTTTTGTCCCAACAAAATAAACTAGATTTTCTATCGGAAGAATAAAGTTTGATCTCACATTGAAAATCTAATAAAAATGGCGTATAAGACTGGTCTTACTAAAATGTGCAAAATAACAAATACCAAAAAAAATCTACATAGAATTAATGATAATAGGGTTTTAACTGAAAAATCACTAATTTTCAAACCAGAATTTTCTTATTTATCATAATTTTCTAATTTAAGGGTTGAACAAGAAATTTCTATATCTACCTGTACCCTGATACAAGGGTTCAGAATCTAGGACGAATCCTAGAATCCACTGAACTAGAACTATCAACCAGGTAAGAGTGTTGGAAATCAGCTCGGTTCTAATCAAGATCATGTCATTAAATAATATTCAATATTGTAACAACAGAAGAGAATAAATGCCTGAGATAATATTAACTAGAAGGACCTGACTAAAAAATATTAACCGAATTTAATGATAAAATGGGACTCTAAAATAATGGAATACTAGTTAAAGGGCCCGGCGTTGCCAGTGGAAAAACAACATATATTTTTTTGAAACACAAAAAAGTAACTCCCAGGCCACTCACAAAAAACTTTAGCCCATTTGATCCGGCCGTTTGGCCGGCTTTCGGTGACATATATACAAATGTCTTGTTTTATTATATAGATAAAGACGACTGTTAAGGCTCAAGCTATGATGTTAAACAGTTCAAAAAACAAGAAACAAGGCAATTTTGCATTTTTCTGTTTAAGATACAAGTAATAAAGGAAAGATGGATATAAAAGAAAACCCGACATGGAACCCTCAGACCGCCTTCTCAGGGCGCATTGAATCAATAATTAGCATACGGCCTAGAATCTAGATCCAACCAGGCTAATGTTTTATACGCTTAATAAGGGGATTTTAAGCTAATGATAGAACTATTTCCTTTATAACAACATCTAATACACAAAAGAGTTCTTAAATATTGTCTCTTTTCCCCAAGTTTTATGAGTCCCTCTGTACAGAATAATTAATGTATGAAATGATCCTAGTTCCTATGAAGAGAGGGATGAAGATACTCTCTCCTAATCTGACTGTATAGACGAGGTATACTGGATAGTAGGAAGAAACTCCAGAACACCCAGAGTAGACCTGAACTCCGGAATCCTTTCAACCTCTCACCCTGACAAACAAATCGCAAAATTAAAAATACATTTTGCATTTAGGATATATCAGATCTATTCTCCGGGACAGATCAATTTTCAAAAAAGGGTATTCAAAAATGTCGAGGAAGTAAATAATGTTAACAAAACAATCCAGTCAAGAATCATTAATATTTGTGATTTTAGAATTGTTTCTAGAAATTAGTTTCTACTTTACTCAGGAGTAAACATCAGTATTTTAACAAAACGTACTTATGATTTTCCATCTAGAGTATTCGTTTATCTTAGCAGCTGTAAATTTTCCTTAAATTAACTAACAAAAGACCAAGAAATTATTGTTTCAGAAGTTTCTTTTAAAATATATAAAGAATCCGTTGTTCTAAGATTTACCTGTATTATGACAATAACGAGTAGCATGGTTAGAGCCCGTAGAACCGGGTCAAATATATCAACTGTATCATGGTCCCTGGTAGACCAGTATCCTAGATCTCCAAAAGCTAGTAAACCTACTCCTCCGGCTAGAACCAACCGGAGTATATTCAGTAGAGAGTAGGATATACTCTTTCCTTCCGTCTTGTATATTCTCCACCCCTAGATTGAAATACAAAGCGTTAGAAAAAACGAACTACTTGACCTCGCATTATAGGTCAATTTTTACATTTTCAATTTTGAGATAACATTTTCTGATTAGTCAACACCCATATTAGAGGGGTGTAACTTGAAAAACGCTACATAGATAAAACGCTACCTCATAAAACACTACACCCATAAAATCCTACCCGATAAAACGCTAGTAAAGAAAATTAAAAAATATAGAATCCTAGGGTTACACTGCAAAACCTAGTTTATTAAATGAGGAAAAGTTGCATTGAATATGGGCAAAAGAGCGATACTGGATTTAAGAGCTAAAAGCTGACCAGGGATGTTCATTTAAATAAATTTTTAATCCTTTCTGGAAGTTTGGAATCTGTTATTCTAACATTTCAAAACATAAATGTAAATACAAAAATTAAGCTTTTCTTTTATTTTACTGCTTTTTCAGTTTTAATGTAATTATAAATGTATTTTCATTCAAGTATTTTTTTTAAATGGATCCAGATATGCAAAAAATGTTTATAATGTCAGAATTTTGCAAGTATTTATTTGCCTGTAAAAGATAAATCCGAAGCTAGACTTGAAAAATGTTATATTTGAAGTTAAATAAGCATAAACATAAATTATTAAATCATGCACGCATCACAGCATTCATTCTTGTACTATTCATATTCATTATAGTATATTTATCAGATTTGATCTAGTTAATTCAAGATCATAAAAACCTGAATTGGGGCAAGCAGCCATAGAAATCCACAGGGTGCCCAGAGTAAGACTGTTTTCTGAAGACATACTGATATATCGGGATCCTAAAATATTCATGAATATTTAATCATAGCTAAATTAAAATACTATCAATTGGTAATGTTTGGATATATAAGAAATAATACAAAGATTATAATAAATTGTGATACGGGAGTGTATATTTTCTCAACCCCCCCCCCTCTTTAAAAATCGTTAGTTTTAACTTTTATTCTCTGAATTAGAAAAAACATATAATAATTAGGTAAAAATAAATATAAAGTATCAAAAAGGACAAATTTTCCCTTTAGATGACGAAAACCTTCAATAATTCGTTCACTTTATAATATACCAGAATGCATGGTTTGATACATCTAAGGTCTATGACATTAGGCTGCATTGACATGTGAATAAGAAAATTTTAGTTTGAAGCAAGTAATCAGTTTTTAAGTGCAATATCAGGACAGTTGCTAAACAAAGATGAATCCTAAGCTAGGAGAGTAACTGTATTTTCAGCGGTACTAACATATCAAGCAGTTTTAGCAACAGGAATTTGGTTTTCTATAAACTTTTCAACTGAGCTGTGATGTGAACTTTAGTCAAAAATTAACATGAATTCAGACAGTTAATGAAAAAACTATTTAATAGATTTATTATGTCATTTGTGTTTTAATGTAATTTGAAAGAAATACGTTCGATAAAGCATCTACAGGGGGATCCAAAAAGACAGACTTTAGCTACGACTTTGCTTAGATTCATTTTACCTGTTTCTTACTTTCATGGTTTCCTGTTTTAGTGCACTTAATTCTATCTTTAACAAATCATTTCATATATTTAAAAAATCTTAATATGGTACAAAAGTTTAAACTTCACCCTCAGATAGTCTCATTTATACTGGGACACCCTAGTCCCTGGTACCTGTGTGTCCCAAGAGAGCTGAAGATCTAGGAGAGGATCGGAGCACCAACCTCCCTCGGTTATTTCTTTGGTTGTATTCGACATTTTCAAGACATTTTATACTTCTGGAAATAAACTTAGAATTTTAATAACTTTTTAACAATAATACTAGAACTTATGGTATATTCCTAGAGAACGATTTTTGGACCCCCAAATAAAGATTTAAATGCAACCTTAAGACCGTAATTAAACACGCTTCTTCAGACGATTATAGTTTTCACTTTTCATATGAAAGTGTTCAATTAAAATTATTACAATTAAGTTTTAAAATTAAAAAGGGAAAAAAAGCAGAGGTTTTGGTTAAAAGTTAAACAAGTACTTCCCTTCAGAAAGTTTAATCCCAACTGTTGTAAAACAGACCAGATAAGTCCAATGTATTTGCCTGGATCTTGACACGAAAATGGAAGATGATTTGGTAATTTCCTAGTATACGATTTTTGGACCCCCCCCCCATAATAATAAATTTGCTGAAAAATAAATGGCCATGTACAAAATTGATAGGAGGGGGGCGGGGGGGTCCAAAAATCGTATACTAGGACAGACCCGATGATTTGCACGTAAGATGAGCTTGAGAAAGCTTAAAATCTAAATACTGCAAATTCCGTTTCTAAACTAAATAGCAAGCTGTTATGTTTAAACCAAATGTTCTTACTTGCATAAATAATTCGTAGAACATGGCGTAATCTGAGTGTTTATGAGATAATTGTATAAGAAGAGAGTAGGGGACAGGGTGTATCAGAGTACGAACAGAGTGTACACTCTTACTCATTCTACCTGCCAGCACAGTGGGCCCTCTAATAGAATAGCGGGACAAAAAGCAATCGAGAAGAAAAATCACAATTTTTGTTTTTAACTGAGAGGTTTTTCATAAAAACCAGATTAGCAATACGAATAGGAAGATTAAATAATTTTCGTTTATAAAAATGTTAATAATGTTTAACCGCTGTGCGTGCATAAAGCCTGCCGGCTTCTTCTGTAATGGCCAACGGCCCAAAGGCACTCGATAACCAAAGTTTGTGGGGGGGGGGGGGGGGGGGGGTTTGGTCAATTTTATATCATAGACATAAAGGGTGTTTCGATGAACATGAGAAATAAGTGACACCTTCATGCGCCACTTTGTCGCTAGTTTATCATACTGATTACTCTTTTAGTCTAAAGGATCAAATTTCCAAAATGTGGCCTGTTTTGTTGCTCTTAAAATTTTGACGGAGCATCATGCAATCTATAAAGATTACAATTTATTGAATAATTATCTAACTTGAAGCCATGGGAACTTAGTGTATAGATACTCATAGATCCCGATCGCAATTGATCTTGATATCCACGTTAAACACAGAAGCTTTTTTTTATAGTTTATTCTGCCAGCTATTCATCGCGGGTAGGGAGGGAAGGAAGACCAGCCACCTCGAAATTTTCGTCCTTCGATTTTTTTTTCACGTGTCTGCATCCATGATCCTTGATAATGAAACAATCCTGCAAGAAGCTAGATTTAACCCCCCCCCCCCATTAAAACTAATGGTTTTGCAGAATTTTCGGTCTAAATTGATGCATTTTCAATAATAACAAAAGTTATTATGAGTTGCCATAAAAAATGGGGGGCCTTAATCGGTTCAGTCGTTATGACAGACAACCAAATATATATTTAAATAAAGTTATAGACTGTTTTAAGTTTTTTTAAACACCGGAAGGCCTTGTCAAAATGAGAGCTTTAAGCCAAAAAAAAACCAAGAGATAAGGGGCGCCAAATGCCCCCTCCCCCTCCAGCTTTTTTAGGGTTTATGCTTCACTATAAATATCATGGGTAGAATGAAGAAGGCGGTACAAATACAAGTTGAGTTTACTTTGCAAACAGTCAATATTTACAGACAAAGCTAAATTTTTACAAACTAACTTTTTATGTGTGTGGCGTTTTAGCCCTTTGTAAATAATCTTCGGAGCGCAAAGAAGTCGATGCATAGAATCATGGGTAAAGGTAAAATCTAATCGAAACTTAATTCTGACACCTTGGTTTCCACAACATATCGAAAAATATCCTAGGTTTTACAGAACCCCATTTTGAACTAGTATAACTCTTTGATCTGTAGGTAAATCTAGATATTCCGGAAATGACATCTCCATAAAGTTTGCCCAAAATTTTCTTGTCATCCTACCCCCCCCCCCTCTTCTTCAACGAAATGACTCTGATGCATGAAATGAATAATGCAAAACCTAAAATCGTCAATATTTTCAACATGACTTGAAAAACTTAGATGATAAAAAATTAAGTTACCTTTAAATCCTGTAACTCATCATCTATGTAGAATGTAGAATGTAGAATGTAGAATGTAGAATGTAGAATGTAGGAATGTATGAATGTAGGAATGTATGAATGTAGGAATGTATGAATGTAGGAATGCAGGGTAGGAATATAGGAATGTAAGAATGTAAGAATGTAGAATGTAGAATGTAGAATGTAGAATGTAGAATGTAGAATGTGGATATTATTTCCTATGTGTAGAATGTGGATATTATTTCCTATGTCCAAAACAATTAAAAATCCCTCAAAGGGAAAAGGTTTACTTTATAGGGCCATCTACGTTATTTCAAGTGACCCCCCCAGTTCTCAAGTCCGATTCACAAGGGCATCCTTAAACCTTTGTCTAGCAAAATTGATGGACATATCACAATGTTTAAAGATTTTAGAGGACGCTTAATAGAAACCGGTTTTTGGCGGATTTGAGACGCTGCTCCAATTAACTTAACTTCCCTTGATAAGAAACCGAGTTTTTCCCACAACCACAAATTTCCTAATTCCTATATCTTTACAACCTATTGGTGTAAATCTTTAATATTCCAACTACCTCTCATCCTTAGATTATCTAATCTGACATCATTGGATTGCATAGATAAGGGAATTAGAAAGGTTCGAGTTTGTGGCAAAAACTCAGATCCTTTGCATAAATAGTGTGTATACAAACTCAACAGAATAATAACACTCACATTTAGACATAAAGGAATAAAGTCTTTGACACAGGGAGCAGAAAATCAGAGTTTGTGGAGAAGACTCAATTCCTTTGGCTTAATAAAAATGTAACTATTTTAAAATAAAAAATCGCAAATTTTGAGATTTACAATTTCTTTGAAAAATGCCGCTTGAAAAACACTTTAAGGAACGCTGAATTGTTGATAGACGAGGGACTCAAAAGCCTAGTTAGTCATACATACACAATAATATAAAAACTTTTGAAATAAGAATAGAGCCCGGAAGCAACTATTTGCTTTATTACCACCTGCCTAACATCCTTATCTAAGAGTCAAACTTGACAAACAGGGTGGTTTATAACACATGGGTTATCATTATAATTATAAATTAAGGATATTCTTTAAAGTTTAATTCTTTTTAAACTGTATGACGTAAATAAATAATTTCTTTAGTCATCACCCATTACTGTTTACATGGCATGTAATAATAATAATAACATGATAACCATAATAACATGATTTAAGAATATTTAGAAATAAAATTATTTTGAAATCATATATATATTATTACTTTGTGTTTACGTGTTCTATAATCTTTTTAATCTTTTAATGTTTTCAAAGTGATACAACAGATTCAATCTGGGTTGTCTCATCCTTATCAATTCTTCTCTTCTTATTGAACCCATCCAGCTCAACGTCCTCTACCGCTATCTGTTTAACTTGGATACCTAGATTAGATCCTCCACTGAACCCGTCCTCGGCTCTAGGTCCGCGTAGAGCACTGGAGCTAGGAGTATAAGTCTTGGTATACTTGCTACTGGAGCTTCTACCAGGTATAAACCCAACCTTGTTCAACCTCTGAACAGCATCATCAACTGCTCCGAACTGCCAGGTCCAGCGGACATTGTAGAGGAAAGGACGATGATCGAACCTATTATCGTCCGGAGAATAAACTTCGGCGTGATAGCTTGGTGTTAATGTTGTCATTTTGTGCCGGTTTATAGAATACATCGTAAAGAAAAACTTGACTTTTTTAGAAACTTCCTCCGGGGTTAGATTCCTCTCATTCCCCCACTCGTGCACTAGTTTCATGAACATGGAGTAAGGTCCACATGCTCCGGGTTTCCGCAACCTTCCGTACACGGAGAGTTCGGAATAGCTCATTCCCATATCCTGCTCATCTGTCTGGGCTAGCTTTCCGTCCTGTAAGGGTTCTAGTTCCGCTGTAGGAGGAGCAGTTAGGATACTTGAGAGAGAGGTTAGTTTGAACCTGTCCGCTGCATAGTTTAGAAACATTTTAAGATCAGTTTTTGAAATTCCTCCGATAGGATTTAGATCTGCAGATGAACAGTCATATTTAGTCATATATCCCCTGAGAGCTTCATCAACGTTAGCAGAACCTAGAACCAGTAGACCACCGGGTCTCTCCCGAACCCAGAGCATAAGCTGAGCAAAAAGATAGGAGAGAACCATCCTTATCCTTGCCTGAACATTCTGCAGAGCTAAGTTCTCCCGCACACTCCCACCTCGGACCTGGAGAAGTAAATATGATCAGTCAGATACTTGATAATGTCGTCATTACAATTGGAAAAACGAGAATGGATTAAGTTGTTCATGTTTGATATGAGGGCTACCATTATTGAAGGATACCATGAAGTAAGTTTTCAAGGTAAACTTAATAAAGTACACATGACTTTCGTCTTTAAATGGGGGAATGTCTGGTTTACTACGGTACCCTTAAAAGCTTTGTCTGATCAACTATCAATGTTGATAATTTTAAAAACTGATAATTTTCAATTGCGGTTTCTCTACAAAAGTGACTTGCGCATTTCTACTGCAGGAAAACACATATGAATTATGAAAATTAACTTTAAACCTAGAAACACGACAATATCTCCACATTATTGATCAGTTAAAGGTATCAAAGATACCGTTGTTAATCCTTCACTTGAAATTACGCGTACAGAGGCCGAATTTAAAGAATTTGAGCCGCAGCATAAATTTAAGCCGCGGCTCAAATATGGTTGGTTCCACTTAAAATTGTATTCAACGTTCAATGTTTCCAAGATTTAAGCCGGCGCTCAGTTAAAACCGGTTTTTGGCGGATTTAAGTTCCCTTAAAAAAAGAAGAATCATTGCAGATGTCTACCTTAAATTTAGGAAAGAATCCTGTAACTGTTGAAAATATTCCCAGAACTGCTTTGACCGCCATATCAATGCTGATACTAAGATGATAGGAACCAATCTGAGCTGCCAGTTTCTAAACAAACCTTACATTCAGAAAAAGTAAATAATTTGTTAATTCAAACTTTGACTTCAAAGGTTATTGATTTGAATGATAAAGTCAATTTCTAAGATTTCCAAAGAATATTTAACCTTCTTCAATGTCTATTGTCCGTCACTATTGACAGATATTAAATTTTTCGGACAAAATAGATTTTATTAGACACCAAAAATATCTGTAAATTTTGAAGATGAAAAAAAATGAAACATAGGAATTTTTAAAGTTCTAAAACGTTTGTTTCATTATTTTGGACTCCTTCTAAATAAGAAAGTTTTAAATCTTATAAAAAATTCAAATTTTGTTATTTTTAGACGCAAGCTTGAAAATCGAAATGATTTAAAGGTTGTTTCCTTTGCACGAGTTTTTGTTTCTTCACTGCTATTCTCGCTTCCCATGTAGCAGGTCACCAACACTCTATTACAGAGCTCGGACGGGTCAGTAGGAATATAATCGCTTTCTCCAGCAATCCGGCGCACGTTGGCCAGAGCGGTCTCATCTCCGCGCTCTACCGCTTGAATGACGAGCCTGCACATACTGTAGACCAGGGTAGCAGTGCTAGATGAATCTACTCCTCCGGAGAGAGGAAGGAAGAACCCGCCTTGGCCGGAGCGTCTCAGGTAGTCCCAGAGCCAGCAGGCCGGACCTAGGGATATCTCCTCCTCAGGTGTATGATACTCCCAGATAAAGGACGGAGATACGGAGATACATTCATCCTCTGCTCCGGAGGAGAGAGCTAGCTCAACCTGAACTCTGGGATATCTCGGAGCTGCAGCTCCTCGGAGCGTTCTACACCTAGATAATCACTAATTAAAGGGACTGTTCTACACCTAGATAATCACTAATTAAAGGGACTGTTCTACACCTAGAATATTAACATTTAAATGGACTGTTCTACACCTATAATATTAACGTTTCAAAGGACTATTCTACATCCAGAACATCAACATTTAAAGGGACTGTTCTACACCTAGAATATTAACACTTAAAGGGGCTGTTCTACACCTAGAATATTAACGCCTTAAGGGACTGTTCTACACCTAAAACATTAACATTTAAAGGGACTGTTCTACATCTAGAACATCAACATTTAAAGGGACTGTTCTACACCTAGAATATCAACATTTAAAGGGACTGTTCTACACCTAGAATATTAACATTTAAAGGGACTGTTCTACACCTAGAATATTAACGTTTTAAGGGACTGTTCTATTAACATTAAAGGGACTACTCACATATAAAAAATCAACATTTAATGGGCTGTTTTATATCTCGAATACTGACATTTAAAGGGACTGTTCTACACCGAGAAATCAATATTTAAAGAAAGTTCTATACCTAGAATATTAACATTTAAAAGAACTGTTCTACACTTAGAACATAAATAATCAAAGGGATTGTTCTATACCTAGACATTTAAATTTTAAGGGGACTGTTTTTATCAACAATTTCATTTAAAACGACCAAAAACAACAAAATTCAAAGGAACTGTTCTACAGCCAGAAAAATATCATTTAAAGGGATTGTTCTACATCAGAAGGATCAACATTACATATTTAAAGGGGCTGTTCTACCTATAAATCACTATGGAAAGGAGTAATACAAATATGTAGCTTTGAATTAATCAATTTTAATGACATTCATTTAGTTTCTTGAAAAAACCAGTTCCTTTAACTTATCTGCTTTCCCACCTACAACATTATGATTTTTTTCTACCTGTTTAAGTTTCTGTATGTTCGAATATCCTCTAAATCAATTACTGCTGTTGCAATCTCAACCTCTTCTATACCGTACTGTGCCGTCCTGTAATAGTACATGTACTCAAAATCAATTACAGCTGTAGCTATCTCAACCTCTTCTATACTGTACTGTACCGTCCTGCAACAGTACATGAATTGTACAAACTGCGTCTTCAGTTTACCCGAAAGAGCAGTGTTGATAACTTAAATCAAAATTTGCTTAGAAATCTATTGTATAAAATGGAGAACTCTTGGTGTTATATTCATAAGGAAGTTGTTCTGATAAACAAAGTTGTCATGAAGAGCAAAGTTGTCTTGAAGAGCAAAGTTGTCTTGAAGAGCAAAGTTGTCATGAAGAGCAAAGTTGTCTTGAAGAGCAAAGTTGTCTTCAAGAGCAAAGTTGTCTAGAAGTAATCAAGTTATCTTAACAAGCTAAGTTGTCTTGAATAGGAAAGTAGTCTTGGTAAGCAAAGTTCTTTCGAGGAGCAAACTTGTCTTACTAAACAAAATTGTCTTACTAAGCAAAGTTGTCTTTGTAAGCAAAGTTGTTTTTTTAAGCAAAGTTGTATTAATAAGCAAAGTTGTATTTGTTAGCAAAAATGTCTAATTGTAAGCAAAGTTGTTTTTGTAAGCAAAGTTGTATTTGTAAGCAAAGTTGTCTTTGTCAGCAAAGTTGTATTAATAAGCAAAATTGTCTTGTTAAGCAAAGGTGTCTTAATAACAGAAGTTGAGTTAACAAGCTAAGTTGTGTTAAAAAGCAAAGTTGTCTTGATTAGCCCAAAGTTGTCTTGGTAAACAAAGTTGTCTTGATTAGCCCAAAGTTGTCTTGATAAACAAACTTGTCTTGGTAAACAAAGTTGTCTTGGTAAACAAAGTTGTCTTGGTAAACAAAGTTGTCTTGGTAAACAAAGTTGTCTTGATAAACAAAGTTGTCTTGGTAAACAAAATTTGTCTTGGTAAACAAAAGTTGTCTTGGTAAACAAAGTTGTCTTGATAAACAAAGTTGTCTTGGTAAACGAAAGTTGTCTTGGTAAACAAAAGTTGTCTTGGTAAACAAAAGTTGTCTTGGTAAACAAAAGTTGTCTTGGTAACCAAAAGTTGTCTCGATAAGCAAATTTGTCTTGATTAGCAAAGTTATCTTGACAAGTAATATTGTCTTGATTAGCAAAGTTGTCTTGACAAATAATATTGTCTTGATTAGCAAATTTGTCTTGATTAGCAAAGTTGTCTTGATAAGTAAAATTGTCTTGATTAGCAAATTTTTCTTGATTAGCAAGTTTGTCTTGATAAGCAAAGTTGTCTTGAGATAGTAAATTGTGATTTTTTTATTTACATTATCTTGTGCTTTATAGTTGAATAGAAAATATGAAATATGAAAAATATGATACCAAAGTTGACTGACTCAATAAGCAAAGTTGTTTTCACCTAGCAACAGTTTTGCCGTTGACAGCAATGCAGGAACAACCGTTGAAATATACTCTTTGACCGTCGCAGCCTCGGAGGTTGCTGTACATATAACAGCCTCCAGATCTCAGAGTAGCAGACCTGAAGTACATGGTGTCACGATAAACATGGTATTGGTCTTCTTTTGTACAAAAAATACAAAAAATGTGGTCTACCTTATTTGTACTTCAAAAATTACCAGAATTGTTACGTTCTTAAATAATTTTTATAATATGAAATCTAGAGAAATTCTTACATAAAAACACCAGTCAATTTAAAATATGCACAAATGGCAGTTCACAATTGAAAACAAATGAAGATCAACAAATTAAAAATTTAACTAGATCACCTTACAAGTTCAACAGCAACATGGGCTTTTCTTAGCTCCATATAGCTCCCGGAGCCATTGACAATAATCTCTACTCCGTCTAGACCCATATCTATATGCGGAGACTGGGGGTTCCAGAGTTCCTCACAAATCTCAAACCCTAAAAAATATTTGATGGAACAAACACTTAAGACCCCCC